TATATATATATATATATATATATATTTAATATTATTTGAATTTTTTACAGATGCATAGAAATACATAGACCTCATTATGAATGATCTACATCCTTAAATTATTCTCTTTTTTTGTATGTAATTACTTTTGAGTAACTCTTACGATGTATTTATGGGATATCGATCGTCCAGTTTAACTCGGTACCAAAGATGTCCTTACCTAATTACATATTATCTCCTCGCGCTTCGATTATTAGCCCACGCTTATTTAATCTGTAATCTTTCTGATTTCCGCGAAAACTTATCTGCGAATCGTGCGGCGTTCCTGAATGATTTTTGATCGAAACTCCGATCGATAGCTTTATCTCAGCACATGCGATTCTCCTCGATTATCTCGTTATTTACTTTGACTGAAGTCATTCGCCGGACAACGAATCAACACATTCGCGTATATTTGAAAAGTACGCCAGAAAGAACCGTCAATTATATTATATTATCGCCTATCAGGTAAATGTGACGTCAATACGAATTTCTTACGCGAACATGAACGAAAATAATCAGAAGATACGAAATCTGCGATATGATTTTGAAGTTGAAGTTCCAAGGTCGATATTTTTTCTCATCTTTATATGTTATCACTGCCGATAACGAACAATTACTATACTATAAATTTTACGATCGTGCGAATAATTGCCATGATAATTAATCCTCTACGTTGCCAAGCTCTGTATTGTACTAATTATGCGCGTCTCTCTTGTAGCAAAGGATGAAAGTCGAAAACTTATAGCGGTATCAAAGATACAGCTTAATTTGATTACTTACTTGTAATCCGCTCGTATAACTTGTGAAATTAAGTTAACTTAGATTTTTTGGAGTTTTTGGAGAGATAAATCCATAGACTTCTATATGACTGACTGATGACTTCGATTTTTCCGTGACGGAGATGGGAGCAGAGAGAGACGAAAGTAAAACCACGTGACCATATATGTGATCATACACACATGTGTGCGTATACTGTCTATGTATATACACGATCCTAACGTACACATATATGAAAAGATCTATGTGATTTATATATTCATAAAAATCGATCGAAAATATTATTTTAGAATAATAATAACAAATCTTTTAAAACAATTTATAAATAACATATATAATAATTTAAATAATAATAACAATAAATTATTTCATTTTGTTTCATTTATTTATAAGTGCAAAT